GGAGAAAGCTTCACTGTGTCAGATTGGTCGAAAACAAAACGCCATTACAGAACTTGGGCCTCTGTTAATTCCAGAGGCCCAGATCCCAGTCTACAAAGAAAAAAAAAAAAAAAAAAAAAAAAGAGACAAACTTGGAAAATAATCTTGGAAGAAGTTTAGGTAGCTGAGTCCTGATAACAATCCGCTGCTGATTTGCTTCTCCAACTAGATGCAACAACTCCTTCAACCCCACAAAATTTTCCTGACAAAAACAATCACAGTTGAATATGTAAAAAGCCATTATTTTAGGTTAAATATTAAACAATCTTGTAGTTTTCGAAGCTAAAATGGTCGGACTTACTGCATTTTGTGGGTTAGTGTGGTTAAGCTTCTGTTTCCTAGGCATGGTGAATGGTGATTGATAGATTAGAATGGTTCCCCTCTATCAACAAATCCTTTCAAATATATAGATAGGAATGTGGCTTTTCGTTTTCATCACGTTGGTATATTGACCATGCACGAACCTCACCATCAAATGAACCGGAGAAAATTTTAATAGATGCTCTATCATAAATACTGTTAATCTTAAATGGATTATAGTGACTATAATGAATTTTGAATCTGGAATGGATAAGCTTTCGTTCTCTCTCTCTCTCTTTTTAATAAAACCAAGGATATATTAATAACAAAAATATTAAAATGTATTTATGGCTAAACCGGAAAAGCATAATTAATGATACAAATGATAATTATGCTCTAAATTAATCTACTTAATAAATCTAAAGACTAAAAATTAAATGTGACATAAGATATTGATATGTGATTATAGAAGTAACCATAAAATTATATTGTGTAAAAAGATTATTTTATGAACTTCTTTAACTATTTGATAATCACACTTGTTGTACCAGCTTGGGGACGAGCAATCAGTTTGGTAGTACCGCAGTACTCTTCCATTATATTACCTCTGAAATATTATTATTTCACTAAGAGATCAATTTCTGAAAATTAGTATATTCTTTTCTTTTTTTTCTTTTGTATGGTCATATAATATTGTTAGAGAAAGGCGCGTTTTAATAAAACTCTTAATCAAAATTCATAAAAAAATCGAAAGGAACAAACAAATCACTCCCATAGATGTACCGAACTCATACAAGCGAAGGGATCCACAAAATCACGATCTTGATATATAATCGTATAAAAGAGTTTCATTCAATTGAAACTCGATCGAAACAATTGAATAAAAAAATTGTTGTTGCAATCACAATTGTTAAAAGTGTTTCTTTGTTCCCAAACTAAGCAGAGGGAAACCAAAACGCACCAGCCGCAGCCTTGCCACGCCACAACTTGCTGCTTGGCAACCGCCACAATAGTTCGCTCCAGTCGCAAGGTTTTTTTTTTTGTTCTGTAATTGCACCAAACTAGAAGTCCTTCTTTAGTCCGCGCTTGCACTCCGGGAAGACCTGCAAAGCCCCGAGGTGGAACTCGAGGTAAACACTCCGATGCTTAAGTCAGCAATAATCGGGGCTACCTTTAGAGCGGAGATAAAAAGAGCTTAGGGTTGGTTTCAATTACCTTTCTGAGGTGGCCCCTGGGGGTATTTATAGGCCTTTGTGAGGTATCCACGTGGCTTGCTTAGCAGGACAATCGAAGCCTAACGTGTCTATCCAGACGATTATTTCAGGACCAGGAATTTGAGAGGTATTCAGATGCACGGATGTCCACCATACTTGTTGTGCCACTCGTCATAAGGAATCAAGTGCGGGCATGCTTATTATCATTGTCATGCAGCTATTTGAGCAGGGAGCTTTGGATTCATTTCTCACTTCGGTCATAAAGGAATTACTGTAGCAGTTCGAGGCTTGGCACCTCGGACCTGTCCTTACACTATTCCCCCCCCGAAATCATTCACTTGTGAATGATGTTGCTGGGGATAATGAGGGGAGTGCATGAACAAAGAAATTACGGATAAGTCATGGAAGTATAAGGAAGAAAGCTGTAATTTAAATTTAGACATAGCCGTAGCTAATAATGAAATACATAACAGTGGGTCATACTGGGGTGCCGTAAATGGAATGTGACCAGAGCGATCACCGCTATGGTCGTGGTGAAAATAATGACCGGAGTCATAATGTAAAAGATGATGACCGGAGTTATAATGGAGCCAAGGTCATGATAAAAAATGATAACTGGAGTTATAAAGGCCAAGGCTGTGATGGAAAATGATGACCAGAGTCATAATGGCCGGAGCCTTAACAAAATATGATGACCGGAGTCATAAGGGCCGGAGCCGAGGTAGAGTATGTGACATGTGGTCGCAATGACCAGGACCGAAGTAGAACATGTCTCTGTGGCCGGAGCCGAGGTAAAACACTTTGCCCGTCAAAAAATGTAATTGTAAAAGTAAGCAGAAGTACTGAGCTGGGCTTAAAATATGATGACCGGAGTCATAATAGCCGGAGCTGTAATAAAATATAATGACCGTAGTCATAATGGCCGTAGCCGAAATAAAATGTGTGATACTGGGTCACTGTGACCGAAGCCGATGTGAAATGTAATGCATGATTATTGTGGTCGAAGCCGAGGTGAAACACTTGCAAAATTGAGAATGTATAAAAGTGAACAAAGGTGTTGAAATGGGCGTAAATGGGCCCGTGTAAAAATACTGACATAGGTGTGACAGTTGTCCTTGGAATGACGTGTGCAATAAATGTGGCCGTAAAAAGATAACTGCTAAACGGGCAAAAATTAAAAAATGAACCGTCAAATTCAAAACGGTACCGTTTGGGGTTGGCCGTCGAATTTTGAACGGTGCGAATAGGAACCGTAAGATTAAATGAATCTCAGCCGTTGAGATCTAATTTTGCCCAGAAGTATAAATAAACATTTTTTCTGCAGAGGGAGGTTTACTTGCATTTCTTTCTCTGCAAAACTTCTGCGAAAAGCTTTATTGTACGTTTCTTGTGCGTAAACTACGGTAACAACTGGGGATCTCTACATCAAATCTTTCGAAACCGAAATCAGGTAATGTATACGAACTTTTGATTTTAAGTTAATCGAAGTGTCTCTCTCCTTTCTCCCTTTCTGTGATTGATTTAGAATCCTTTGAAGGAAGTTAGGGTTAGAGGTGAGGAGGATTTTGAATGTTCAACAAAAAAGGGGGGTTTTTCTTTTTTTTTAAAAAAAAAAAAGATCCTGACTTATTCCTCCCCCTAACTTCGTGCAAAGTTAGAGAAAATGTCCTCAGAAGGAACAGAAAGTGTAGTTGGGAGTGAGGTGATGCCCCTGGACTATGGGAGCATGGACGCAGAGAGTAGTCCATCTCCATCTAGTTCGAAGAAAACGGTGGAGGGGGTGAGAGGAGATGAGGTGGTGGAGGTTGGGGAAAAAGAGATGGTTAGGGTAGATAGCATACCCATCACCGTAGTAGAAGTAGAGGGTAGAGGAGAGAGAGATAGTGGAGGAGGTGAAGCAGTACAGATCTGAGCTAAGGACCAGGGATAACCTGGGTCACTTAGTAGAAAATTACGAGATCTTGTCTCGAGTGTTAGTTAGGCCAGCTGGGGTAGAGGTGAGGGCGTGCTCTGCTCCTCAGGATCACTGGATGCCTGTGTATTCCCACTATTTGATAGCGGGACTCAGGTTTCCACTTCCTGAGTTGCTAGTGGGTTTACTGTTAGATTACAACATAGGGTTGACACAGTTGGTCCCCAACGCAATGAGGATAATAATAGGATTTTTAGTCTATTGCCGAGCTCAGGGGATTAACGTGCCAACTGTAAATATGTTTAAGTATTTTTTTGTTTTAAAGGGGGGTAGTAGGAGAGATAAGGGGTGGTATTATTTCACCTCGAGGGTAGCTAGTAAGGAGAGTAGGTCGTTGTTTACGGCGGGTCCTTCATCCATTAAAGGATGGAAGGAGAAATTCTTTTTTGTAGATGATACGGAGTGGGGGAAAAGGGATGCCGAGGTGAGGGAGTTAGCCTCCTGGAAGGCCAAAAAGGCCAACCAGAATAGGTTTAGCTTAAATGAGGATGAGAAGGAGGAAGTGGGGAGGTTGGTGAGGAAAGGGGGGATTTATTAAACATTTTGGACCTCATCAGTGCACAATGCATAGAAGCTGCCGAGCTCTATGGGCCAAGCGCTTTGAGTGAAGGTTGGTTTAGTTCTGCATTGTAGTACTGAATGTAGAGTAATGTAGAGTATAGAACTGTGATTAATATTGTGCATTCTTGCTTTTGCAGCTGAAATGGACCAATTCTTGAACACTGTTGGAGGAGCGGCCATTCCCAAGAAGCCAAGGAAGAAGTCAAAGACTTCAACCAAGCAAGTGGATGAGGGGAGGGCAAGAAAGGAGGTAGTGCCCACGATCTCAGCTGAGGTGGAGGAGGAAGTGCCACAATTGAAGAGAAAGGGGTGCGAGGAGAGGAGGGCACTGCAGAAGAAGCAGAGGGTGGTGGAGGAGGAGACGGGGAATGAGGTCCCTGTGTTCGTACCTCAGCCTTCTCCTGTTGAGCTGGACCCTGAGCTCAGACAGTTGGAGGAGGGGGCTGAGGTACGAGCTCTTGGTAAGGGAAAGGGCCCTATTCCCCCACTGGGGCCTCAGAGCAGCCTGTTCAAGGC